CTTCCGTCTCCAGCAGCAGCCAACAATCCGTTAGCCTATAAATTCAGGTGTGTGTCCTCTTTTTTCTCACATATACCAAGAAAGTTATTTTTTTTTTTTTTTTTTTTTGGGGGGGGGGGGGGAGGGGGTATGCTTTATGTATTCAATGCATGTAAACATAGAGATTGGTATACATAAAAGAACTGATGACATGAATCATCAGTTCCTCCTTAAATGTGTTATTAACTTTTAACATGATTCCAGTTGATCTGTGTAATAATTACAAAATTCTTTACCTCGCCTAAGACAGGGTGCACAAAGCTGACAATGCCGCAGGAAAAATTGGTAATTCTTGCGGCTTGTAATCAAATTCTAGTTATTTCTGCTTAATTGTACAGTTTGAATAAAAATCTGATACTTATTACAACTTTTAAGATAAATAGTAGCAGAAAGGCCAGTAGGCAGTAACTAACATATAGTCGATATAGATGATAGTTGAAAGCTACTTCAACCTTAAATCACGACCTCACCGAAGTTTACTTTCAACTTTAGCAGTCAATTTACTAACCACTACTTGAAAGCTATTGCGGAAATACCTTTCAAAGAACGAACCTGTTTTAGACTCAACAAATGTTTATTTTGCATAAGCACTATGTTGTCACCCACATATAATACTTAGTTTCTCCTTTTGTGCATCCAGTTGGAACCCTGCTGGTGCTTTGAGAGCTGGGCGTAATCCTGCCACATATAAATCTCATGAAGAAATGAAACAAGTTAATGGTAAGCTCTCGTAAGGTCTTACAATATATTTGAAAGTTTAATTCAATAGTTATCCCTGGGTTATTCTACCGCCTCCACCCACTCTTCAGTAAAAACGAGTTTTTTCAATCCTGTGTAACTGTGTTTGATGAAAGCTGTCCTTATAATTGTGGTTAAACTTGAATATTTTTTAAGTTTTCTATGAATGTACTTGGCAAATGTTTTGTACTACAGATTTATTTCACAATCCATATTTATATATTTTTTGGCCTGCAGGGGATGATCTTTATGATTCAGCTGTGAGGTTTCGGCTGCCTGACTTTCCAGCTTTCGCATTAGAAGTCCTTCCAAATCGTAATTCTCTGATTTATGGAGACATCTATAAAATTGGAGATGAAGTATCAACGATCTTCCGAGGAACTCTTCGTTATGAAGGCATGACAATCATTTGAGTTCTGACTTTGCAATTTTGGCCATTTAAGCTTAATATCGTTAGAAACTTCACATTGTGGTAGTGAAACATAGTTTGTTACTGAATTTTTAACTAATTCTGCTTTAGGTTTCGGTGAGATTATGGGGACATTAGCAAGGATTGGTTTCTTTGACACTGAAGCTCAAACAATCCTTAAAAGTTCCGAGAGACCTACTTTTGAAACATTTACACTGAAGCTCCTTGGTATTGAGAAGGAGACTTTATCAGGCTCTGATATCGGAGAGACTAATATTGCGGAAAGGATCATATCACTTGGACATTGCAAAGAACAAGCAGTTGCCTTTAAGACTGCTAGGACAATCATGTGAGTTTAGGAGTATTTCTGTGCTGATATCAAGTTTGTAAGAGTATAAGGCTCTAAGATGTCCTTTGATAACTCATAGCCCCTTTCCTGTCCTCTTGTGCTAATAACTGGTTGCCTGATTCTTTTAATTTCTTGATTAGATTCCTGGGATTTTGCGAGCAAACATTAATACCTTCTACATGCAAGAGTGCATTTGATGTCGCCTGTCTTCGCATGGAAGAAAGACTATCTTATTCTAGCATAGAGCAGGTACTAATTCCTCAATCACAGAACATATGCTGCTTGTCTTGCATTAGAGAAATCCCTTTGCTATGCTGGAAAATCTACGAATTCATGCATAAAAAAAACTGTGCTCATCTGGCTGTGTATTTAATTTATGCAATTTTCTTGTTTCGTAACTTATAATCATGACTGTGGGTCGATCAGGATATGGTCCTTCTGTATCATGAAATTGAGGTAAAATTTCCAGAATCCCAAAAGATAGAGAAACACCAGGCAACTCTCTTGGAATTTGGAAAGACCGAAAAAGGAAGAACTACAACTGCCATGGCACTGACTGTAGGAGTTCCTGTAGCAATTGGAGCCCTGGTAACATCTTTCACCATCATATATTCTGTTGTATTGCTCAAACTAATGCTTTAAGGCTGACCTTCTTCCCCTTTTGGGTGGGAAATTACAGCTCTTGCTTTCAAACAAGGTAAAGTCGAGAGGAGTTTTGAGGCCCATTGAACAAGAAGTTTATGCTCCAGGTAAATCTAAACTACTCCGTATTTCATTAGAATCACGTGTGCACATATCTCTGAGAAGAAACAGATTCTACTAAAACTTTGTTTGAAGAACGGACCATTATCCAATTCCTTGAGCTTTCGTTTATAATTTCATCCTGTCGCTCTTTTTTGCCTCACGTATAGTCGTATAATATAGGTCGTCATTAATCTACTGTGACATTTTCTTGCAAGTGAATCATTTCCACCTTATCTGATATGCAAGGTCGATTAGAATACAGTGAAATTGGCAGAACATCAATATTAGAGCGTTACTTGAGGTTACGTACTAGAAATTCATATTATCATGCATAAAAACTGTCATTATCTTCATGCATAGGATGTAGACATGTAGTTACAATTCCTTTTTAACCATCACATTACATATTTCTAAAACACCAACTGTTTATAACATTTTCTACCTTCGCTTTTACTTCAACCTTATGCACATATATTTTTGGTGTTTGCAGCGCTGGATTTGATACAAGCATGTGGAATCAACTTGTTGGAGAAGATAGAATGAATCTCAGTATATATCTACCTGTTTCAATCAACTAATTTAATCCTCGTATATATTCAGTCCAAAAAACCCAATTAGTTCATTGAAATTTAGGCTCTAAACCACAATGTTCATCAGATTTTCTGTACAGTTTATGTTGCTACTGTAATTAGCCGTGGCCTGACGGGTCTGGAGCTATAAGATGTATATATATGTTTGTGTACAATATCATAAATTAACACCTTCAAATTATAAGGATCATTTAAATCATAACAATTTGAGATACTGAAATCAATGTTCTTTCTTCACAGCATTTTGTGCTGTTGGATTTTATTTTATTTTAAAAATTTCATTGAGTAACTATTCAATATATAATCATATATGCAAAGGAAAAATAGTAGACAAGATCTATTGCACCACGTTAGTTGACAATATCCGTTGGTTTTGTTATCAGCTAAATTAAATCTAATGTGTGTAAGAAAATTAAAATAAGGGTAACGCTATATGCAGCCCTAAAGGGTATATAAGCATTTAATATACTTCAATTTCTAGTACTCCATATTAAATTGAGAATTTATCGACAACTTACGAGTAAATCGGTGTAATAAATGTTTATTAAAAGTTTCTTCTTTCTACTTTTAGCTTCTTATATGCAATCCTAAAGATTGCATATAACTTTTTTCTTTAAAATAATACTCTGTACATCAAAACAAATACACCAACATCATCACAATGTCATTTTAGGCTTTGTTTTCCTATAGGCATGCAAATTTCTTTAGAAGTACACTAAAATTACAGAGTAAATTGTTTGGTCAATAAAAAAAGTGCAAAATGGGGGAAAGTAAATTAAAAATTCCTAAAAACTTCAATTTTTCAAATAATGTAAGAATTAATCTAATCAGTAATCACTATCTAGGTAATTCAAATTTCCTACTAATTGTAATTTCCTTCATACCAACAACAAGTTCTTAGTGCATCAAGTTGGTGTCTAGAGGAGCTTCAATGCATTCCCTATTTCATGAGAAAAAAGAAGACTATAAATAAATACTAGATGAAGCTCGTGCGATGCACAGTTTGTTTGATTTTTTTAAAATAATATTTTTACATATATATTTATGTGCTAAAAATTGTTAAATGTTTAGATAAAATTACTGATATTAAAAGATAATATTTTATATTTAATTAATTTAAACTGGATTATCTGATTCACCAATTTTTCTTACATGTCAGTTAAATTATTTAATTCTAAAAGAAATTAATAATCTCATATTTAATTGGCTACCACTAAAATTTATTATCCTACGTGGCGCGCTGAAAAAATTAAATCCTACGTGGCTCTCTAAAAACTCGTGAAAAAACTCCCCTTTATATATATACTAGTTTTGTGCTCGTGCTTGTTTATTAAATTTTAAGATATATTTTAATCTATATGTCAAATTTTAAAATATATCATTGATATAAAATTAGTTAGCAATTAACGTATTTTTGTAACGATTTAAACTTGTAGACATGTAATGACTAATAATAATAATATTGGTGAAAAACATTTCTTGACCCTGTCTGAAATGACTCGTGACCCGACCTGATTATATTAGATTGTGAAGTATATTATTTTAATTGATTAGAATATATTATAACCCATGGATGTGGTACATTTTGAACTAATTCCTTCGCTCTAAAAAAAATATTATGATACAAAAAATGAATTTATATGATAATTTATGAGAGTTATAATCTAATTATTTTTTGAATAGAATTATAATTCAATTTGTACATATGAAATATTCGTACTTTATCAAAAATAAAGATCTAAATTAACAATTTTATCCTAAAATTATATCTAAAGTTGATTGAAAATAAAATTCTAAACTAACTATTTTATCCTACAAATTGAATTTTATATAACTCTATCCTACGTGGCACGACACTTGGCAAAAAGTTGGAACGCCAAGTGTCGCTGTCTCGTCCTAAAAGTTTAGCTTTATATTTTTTTTTTCATAATATTTTTATTAAACTTTTATTTCTTTGATTAAATATTTAAATATAATTGCAGTGAGATTATCGTGCATGACACGGAATTTAATATTGTAGTGTAAATCTGTAATATACTCCGTAGGTATAGATATATAGACCAATTGATTTATTGGGTTGAACACCTCAACAATACAAGTAAGTGAGTAACACAATAGGTTGAACATTGAGTTATTGGGCTTAACTTCTCAACAAAAAACCCAAAAACAATAAAACCCTAAAAAAGCATAATATAACTCAAAACCTAACGCCGCTTCTCTCCCCTCATTTCCTTTCTCGCAAACTAAACCTTAGCATTCTTCATCGTCTGCTACAATGGTGATTTTCTCTCTCTTCCTGAATCTTCAACAATGGTTTTACAGCAATTTAATGGGTTTGTTTTCTTGGTGATGAATCCAACAGGGTAAAGGAACAGGGAGTTTTGGTAAGAGAAGGAACAAGACCCACACACTTTGTGTGCGATGTGGTCGCCGCAGTTTCCATCTTCAGAAGAGTCGTTGCTCTGCTTGTGCTTACCCCGCCGCTCGCACCAGGAAATGTATGTTCTTTTTTTATTTTCATTCTCTTGATTTTTAATTTCTTTATTTTCTGGGTTTTTTTCAAGAAGATTTTAACTGATTTAATGTTTGATTGTTGTTTTTGTGTTGCTATTTTGTTACTGTATTATGTTACTTGTTGATTTTGGATTAATTTTTTTTATATATTTACACTTCATATTAATTTGATTATAATTGGGTCATTGTATTGATATTGAGTTGAATTTCATGATTTCGATCATATTAAGTGTAATTCTCATGCCATATTTGTTCATTTTAGGGTTTGATTTAAGAATTAGCTAAATTATTTGATTGATTACATAAATATCTGTTTTTGTTCTGCTCATGTTTTTGAATTATTTGTCCAATTTTGTTTCATTATTTTGATTGATTATCAGTCATTTGTTAATTTTGGTTATACAGTTTATAATTATGTTTTCAATTGGTAAACCTTTGACCATTATTTAATTTGGTCTAATCTTTCTCTCTTTTCTGCCATTAAAGAACCCTCAAATGTAGTAAGGTTTCCAACAATTCCTACCCTTTTTGTTTTATAGAGTTATTATAATTATATGAATTTAGAGAATGTACTCATAATTCGATTACAAGTATGCTTAATATCAAGCTGTAGAAAACTTAATTATGATTACAGTTCTCGAACAATAAAGGCTTGTCCCGCACATTAACCGTGTTTAATGATTTTGTGTATGGTTGGATTTGATTCAGACCGACTTCACCTTGTAATCGAATCGACATTCACTGTTTTGGCAATTGGCGTGCTTTAGTCTTCAACCTCTTGATTATTCATATGTAGAGTACTAGCTTGCTTATATGTGTGTTGCGTTTATTGAGTAGGGTATGCTGTTCTGATTAGTTGCTTTGCTGCCGGGATTTTTTACACCGTAAGTTCAGATTGCGGTTTTATTGATTGTGTTTGTGTGTGGATTTTAGATAACTGGAGTCAGAAGGCAATCAGGAGGAAGACAACCGGAACTGGACGTATGAGGTACCTCCGCAATGTACCACGCCGTTTCAAGACCGGCTTCAGAGAGGGTATAAAGATTAATACTTTTAACGAATAGCTTGTTTGTTTTCATTTTAGGGTGTTTGTGTAATGGTTGTTTTTACTTTGGTTAGGTACTCAAGCAGCACCAAGGAAGTTAGGCGCAGCCGCATCAGCTTAAAGAGAGTGAAAGTTTCAGAGGGGTTAATTTGGGAACTTCAGGCATTTAACTCCATTTTTGCATCTTTAAGTGTTTGATTAGCCTTAATTTTTTTTAAAGAAGTTGGAGACATTGTATCGTGATCGAATGATACTACTGGATTTTGTTTATCTTTACAATGTGTTAGCTTTAAATGATGAGATTATTGTTAGTTTCAGATTTTGATATTTGGTGAAACTTACTGTACTCTATTACTCCATATTTTTGTCATTGGTAAAGTTGATTCAACTCCTTGTTCAATTCTTTCATTAATGTACAACATAAAAAACTAAATAAAGTAAATTTATGTCATAACATTCTGAAAAAATACACAGCAAAGGAGATGTATGAGTGTGAATGTGATGCACACTGCTTGAACATAATCATAAACGGAAGTAAGATCACTGCAGATCTTCAAGCTTGAATGGAAGTAAGAGATAGACCATCCATCATGTGCTGCAAAACCTGTTTATCTAATACATGCGGCAAACTCGATCCCAAATACTTTTGGGATTAAGGCTTTGTTGTTCTTGGCAAACTCGGACATGTATATTTGATTCCAAAACCCACCACAATAATCTTCAATTTTAACAGAGAAACAAAAGACTAATGCTGATAATAACAGCAGGAAATCAATGACTGATAGACTGATAGTCCCACTATAATCAGACTTCACAGTAACTGATCGATTATGTGCCTAAAAACAGAAGTTAAACGACAACTCATCTGTAGGAAAATCAATTTCGTAGTAAACTAAGGCAGTGTCATTTCTCTCTACTCTCGAGCTATCAGGTTTCTGACAATAAGTTTGATATCTGTGGTAGTTTTGCAAGGTGCAAGAGATATTCAGTCCTCTTCCTCATGCCTTTGTAGATCTTAGCATACTTCCAGAACTGTTTGAAGCAGTAGTTTAATTCTCGTTCTTTTTAGACAGTTGGTCAAGCTGCTGTGACAAAACGAACCACTTCATGGACATATGTTACTTATGACCGAAGAGGATTAATATCAACTATTGTTGATGACAGTAAACTAACAGCGGACAGTTTAAAGCATACTTCTTAACAATTTGTTCATACTTTGAAAGGCTTTCCCAACAGGATTTGCCAATCTAATACTAACAAGAACATGCATGTAGTCATGCAGAGACAAGAAGAAACACTGGCAAGAAGATGGTGAGATCTCTCTTTCTACATTTACGACTGATTGTCCTTTTCATTATAGCACTTCCTCTGTTAGTCATCCAATACATTATTTGAAACTGATGCACCAATGTTTCAAGGCTTGCAAGTTGCAAGTTGCAAGTTGAAGCGATGTACATAATGCAATCTTACGGAAGCAACGATAACAGAACATCTATCAGTCCATATTATCAGATATACATTAATCCCAAACATCTTTATAATCTGTAACATTCATATCGTCCAGAGATGCAAATAAATGAAGGGAAAAGTAAATGAGAGGAAATTATCATATCCTTATCATGACTGCATGATTCTTGCATGCAAAATATGGTTGTATAAGTATACTGCTACCATGTTCTTGGCATACAATAGCTAAGGAAATAACAATGTTTGCTAAATTTCCAATCGGGTGCTTTAGAATATCGCTACCACAATTGATTTCTTTGCTACCTACCATCTCATTGATACTCTAGTGCTATGCTATAGATGCGACGAATAGACCCAAGATAGTAACTGCTGTTCCACTTCTTCCCAGTCATGAACTTTAGTCACAAGGGGATGTTGGTTATTTGATCCAGTCTTGCACCAAGGATAAGTGTTCTGATAATCAAAAAGTAGTACTCTTATTCCAACTTCAGCACACTCTAAAGCATATCTCGGATTGTCATCAATCAACACCTTTGCTCCCATAGACCTGAATACAACATAAATCACAAAAGCCAATCCCATCACTGCTACATCCTAAGTTTAGGATGTCTCCCGATCAAGGAGTCATTGAACCGACAAAAATATTAACAAGCTCATGGTTACACGCATAAACATTAAATCATATTTTAATGCTGTATTTATTATAAGTGATACTAAAAGCTATGCTTAAGACGTAGCTTCAAAGCAAAAGCAAATCAACACACCTGCAGATCTCTGACTTGGGTTTTGATTTACCATCCAGAGCAAAGTGATTACCAAAGTGAATCTCATCAAAGAGTCCTGAATAGTGCTTCTCAAGCCACTCAATAGTGTGATCTTTGATGACATTTTGACGAGACCTAAGAGCAAGGAAGACTCAACAAGTCACACCGCATGACAACATGAATGAATATTATATCAGTAGTGGGTTTAGCAAATACATACGTGACAACAGACAAGGTGCAAAAACTTGATAGCTTGTTAAGGGTCTTTTGAGCTCCTGGGAGAGGGTAGATCCCATTCTTAAAATAAGGTGTCTTAAAAAACTCGTGAACACGGATATCAGCTGTCAAAAAAGAAGAAAAGAAAAAAAAAAAAAAAAACAGCCCAATATTATTAAGAGCCAATAAGGACTGTAATATTAATCCAATTAGATATACAACAATGCCCAAAGAAATATGTTTTCAAGTAAAAGATGATCATCCGTTGTAAATGGAACTATAAGGACAGTCCCTGGCTCCCAGTTCATTAACAAAGTATATACACACGATTATGAAATTAATACATCATCTATTTCCGTCAAAAAACCAACTCATAGCTTTCCACATAACAAGTCATAATCACTTCTCTCTGACTAATAGGTTTACAGAAAGTGGCAATTCATTAGAAAATTCTGATCTTGCAGGAATAACACGAACAAGAACCTACTGAGTGTTACAGCAAAACATGGGAATTAAGAAATCAGTTGGCATCATATTGTAGACCCAAAGGGAAGAAAACTCTCTAATTACAAGTAACAAGTCCCCTAGAAATTTCACATAACCAAACAGCTTCTATACAGAATGAAAGTAAATTTATTTCCTGCACAAACTGAAAGAAATCCGAATAGTATAAGCTTGTTTTGTAACGAATAACAGAAAGTAAGAAGAAAGAGCATTGAAGGATCATTGCAATTTGTTTGGGCAACCAAATGTAAGATGAGAAGCAATAATGCCAACAAGTGAACAGTCCAGAAATGAATCCTGATACATTTCTATCATAGTCAGCACGCTTTTAACTACATGTTTCCTAGTTTCTCTCCCACTGATCAAACTGCTCCTTATCTTCTTGACTCTTCTTAACTTCTACAAGTCTACTCCACCCTCTCTAATTCCATTCTCAAAGCAACTATATTATAGCATGAAACAGAAGCTTATAATCCAGCTTCTTCACCAGTCTACATGAAACATCAGGACACTACATCAGTCTTCTTTCCCACGTGACATAATATAGGACCTGTTTAAATTGAGCACTAAATTCATATTTTCAAACATTCAATCCCTTATTTTCTATCAGGACTTCAGGAGGATCATAACTGGGTCTTTAATGTCACTCAAGTCTCAAAATCCCATTTCACTCAATGCCAAGGTACAGACAGGAAATCTACAAGATTCAGAGCAACAGAAAAGCTGATGACAGCAAACAAAAGCCCTGACACATCTATAAAATCAGAACTGGAAAAGATGTAGTTAGCTGCTACAGCATTGAAAAGGAAAAAATAATCATCCAATAAACGAACAATTATGAATAATTTATTTGAAATGAAGTAAAAAAAAACATAATATACTCAGTGTACCTTCATCACGGGAGCAATTCCAAATCTGTAAGAAAAATAAATAAAGGAAATATCAGGCCTTGAGTATCCACTGCTTTTAATATAAAAGACATTCATCAACAAATTATGATTGAAAATTTGAAAGAGGCAACCAAAATCATTTTTATATGCTGATATGCATGCTAAATTGCTAAGTTGGTAGGCATATGAGTAATAAAAATAGCTGGAACGCCTCAAAGCAAACTCAAGGTTGCAAAGGTATTGGATTTATTGAAGTACGTTAATGTAAAAACAAAATGGTCTCAATAAACAAAATTCCATGACTTTCAACAACAGTTTCAACATTCACTTTAATCCAATATACGAGCAATCGTTACACATGGCATTCAGCATTGATATTATAGAATGACTTAAATTTTGTATAGACATGAATTGGCTATAATGGTGAACAGTTCAGATCATCAGACAAAGATCAAGTAAACAATTGTTGAATTTAAAAGGACTGGTATATGAAACCATGTGCACAACAACAAGGTAGAATAACCAATTATCGACTGCTATTCAGCATTTCAGTAGCAGATAAATGGAAAAACTGAAAACAATTCAGGCTTTTCTTTCAACTAAACTTTTTGAATTTCAACTGAGGAATCTCACACCTATTATAAGACCACTGAAAAACACAGAAACCATTGCAATTTCTACCTAAGTATCAGTGTAAATAGGAATGAATTCAGTGATAAAATTAAAAAAAAAGTCAGAACATCTACACAAAAGCAATACATTTTACAAAACATATAACAACCAAATGAACTAATAAAACATTTGAGGCCTCAGAATGTACCTTAAAGAACTCATACACGTAATATTCAGAAACTGAATGAACTGAAGAATAACGGTCAGCAATGAATCTGTTTAGGGCCGAGACAAAGTTACCAAGGACTGCACCTCAGACAGGAAGGCATAATCAGTAGCTATAATAGCTATTTCAGGATTTCACCACAAATGCAAAAGCATGAACTGAGTATCAGACAGAACTAACAACCTCAAATCACTATATGGTACCAATCACATTATTCCAGTTAGATCAAAGTATAGACAAAAAGTAACCAAGCATTTTAATAGCCACATATAAATTAAAATAACAATCCAATCAAAGCACTAGGACACTTTCCTTGCTTGCAACAACCACTCAACCAAAATTAAATCTATAAACTTAGCAACATAAAGCCCTTTATTATCAATCAGATTCACTCTATAAAGGCTAATATTGAACAGCAATATAAATTTACGAAGAAAAACACTTTAAATTCATTCCCATTCCCACAATTTATCTCTAGTACATGTGTGATGAGATAAACAAAAACACATTCATGAATAATACACTATAAATTCATTCCCCATGTTTGTGCTTAGATAAACAAAAACACATTCAAATATGAATAATACACAAACCAAAAGATCAATCAAAACCAAGCAATAATCACAAATAACAACAACAAACGCAACGAATTCGAATTCGGGTTCCAAGAACTAGCAATTACCCTCATCAACATCAACAGCAACAACAATCTTCTCAGGCAATGAACCACCAGCATCAGAAAAAACAGTAGAACTGCCCCTTTGACAAGCTGCACCGCCATTATTAACAGCTAAAACCTCACTACCCCTTTTCTCATCTTGCAACTGCAACTCCATATCAGAAAAAGGTTGCTGAGAAAGAGTGAAAGCCCTAGTTTTGTATAACCCAATAACATCTTCACTCTTCAATTTAGGAACTTTTTCTCTAAAATCAGCACAACCCTTCAAATTAAACCCAATGTTGGCAACATTGATTCTTGAGTTTTGAGAATGGTTTGAAGTTGAGATTTTTCTGTCAGTTTTAATCAACCCAGATAATCCTTTGCCTATTAAAGCAGCCATTGATTGCAATTTTTGCCTTTTTATCATTACTAATCAATCACATCATTTTCCCTCAACCTCTCCGACCTAAATCAATAACAAAAATTTAAGATTTCTCCCCCAAAAAATTTGTACCCAGCTGCTAATTTCAAGATTAAATGCAGAATCTATGATAAATTTTCAAAAAGATTGCTACAATCTATGATAGAATTTGATCTGGCTTTTTAATTATTAAAGTAAATTTAAAAAAAAAAAAAAAAAAAAAAACCCAGATTTTGTTTTTTATTTTAGGAAAATAACAAATTGGGTAAAGATTAAGAGATGAAAACAAAAAAGAAAAAAATTGTTAAATAAATGGGAAAAGTGGGGAAAGTGTATAAAAAATGAGAACCCTCCGCTCTTGCTTTGATCATTCTCTCTCTTCATCACTTTAAATACAAGCATAGCATTCACCGGCCATTATCAATCAAGCCACCAATCAACATGCTCCGTTTCTTTTTTTTTTTTTTTTTTTTTTTTTTTTTTTTTTTTTTTCTGTTATTCTCTCATAGCATAACGCATTTTGCTGTAAATTAAATTGTGTTACAATAAAATTACTTTTAGAGCTCCTTCTAAAAAATAAATAAATTACTTTTAGAGTTAAGTAAATTAGTTGGCAATTATGATTTATTTTTATTAAATTTAAAATATCGGTTAAACTTTTTTTTTTTTTTTTTTTCAGTTTCAAAATAATTTTATATGATCGCATAGAAATACATTTTGTTGTTTCTCAAACAAAAAAAAAAAAAAAGGTGTTAGTAGTTGTCAACTATAAAACGCAAATGGTGTCAGTCGTTCTCTAGTGAAAATTGCTAACACGGTAACATCATAAGTAATTTTGTATTGAAAATTTGAACACCTTTTTTTTTAAGAGTAGTTAACAACATTTCAGACTACACTTGGATGTATACTTTTTATTTTATTTTTAACCCAAGATTTAAATGCTATCAATATTAGCAAAATTTTAAAAACTATTTTTTTTTTAATGTAATAAAGCGAACATTTTCACCAACATTATTATTAGTCATTACATGCATACTAGATATCAAATCTTCATAAAAAATATTATTATTAGTCATTACATGCATACTAGATAGCAAATCTTCAGAAAAAACATTATTATTAGTCATTACATGCATACTAGATAGCAAATCTTCATAAAAGCACATCAACTTCTAACTAATTTTGTATCAATGATATATTTTATATTTTGACGTATAGATTATAAATTTATCCTAAAATTCAATAAACAATTCGGACATTGCACGGGCACTAAATGAAGCTAAACTTTTAGTCAGGTCACGAAATAGTGACACTTGACATTCTAACTTTTCGTCAAGTGTTGCGTCACCTTGGATAGATTTAAATAGATTCATAAGTTAGTTAAAAATTCTTTTTTCAATCACATTAGGATAGAATTTTAGAATAAGATGGTTAGTTTAGAGTTTTATTTTCGATAAAATACCAAATAATAAACTTATAATCAGGCCACAAGACAACATCGTATAGCATTTTAACTTTTCGCCAAGTGTCGTACCACGTTGGATAAATATAGATAGACTTTGTAGAAAAAAAAAGTTAATTAAGAACTCTATTTTTAATCAATTAAATTGAATTATAATATAATTTTATCTTAAATTCCATAAACAACCCGGGTATCGCACGGGGCACAAAACTAGTTCTATCTAAATAGAATTTAAACTAACTTTTTTATTTATCTTATAATGTCTATTTAAATATATTCAATATGACACGACACTTGACGAAAAGTCGGAACGCCAAGTGTCGCTGTCTCGTGACCTGGCTTAAAGTTTAGCTTTATATATTACTTATATGATTTTGTAAATATATTTGTAGTTTTGGAATACTTTTTATGCCTCCAAAAAGAAATCTAGCCACTATGAGGATGATTTGAATAACAGCCACAGGTAAAAGACTAAGAATAGAATTCCTTGTGATTTGAGTACACAAGTCACATAATAGTAAAGTAAGAATCTCAACAAAGTTAATTTTATTTTGAAGACGGAATTCCATATTATATGGGGTTTCAAATTTTCATTTGGTTTGGAATCTTGCCTTCAAAAAAAAAAAAAAAAAATGGTTTGGAATCTTGTAAATCTTGACCACTGTTGATGTCAAATTGTATTGCCTTAGTGACTCGACTCCATACGAAACACTTGTTACTTTGAAACAATTCAACAAAAATTGTTACATGTTATAAAATATAAGAGATAGAGAAAATAATAACATAAACTATTAAAATATAAGAGGTATTCATATATTATCTCTTAAACTTTTCTTTTAACACAAACTATTAAAAATCACAATCTAAATATAGCTCGATTTCAATGTTATGTCTTGTCATTCAATTTATTTCATATATTTAACATGAGAAAGCGTCAACACATTATTTCTTTCATATCAAATGAAACTTCAGGTTTTATAACGGGAATTTATTAAACCCCGGATTACCTAATTATTAATTATCACATCCAATCACTTTTCCTTTAGTATTTAAATTATGGTCAGTTTTATAATATTGGTGATCACCTTATTAGAGATATTTTATGTATGGTCATGGATATGATGTGATATAAGTACACCAATGTGTTTCTTTCTACAATTGACAAGACAATTAACTTGTAATCTTGATACATGCTAACCTTGTTGGACAACATTTTATACTCTTTTGGACTACTTTATATAATCATATCACATTTTAATGTGTTAGAAATGATCTCTCCAGGAGATACATAAAATATGTCACTTTCTCAAATTTGTCATTGTCAATTAGTGCTTCTTTCCTCTTCTAAGGATTCTTATCGTTGTAACCTTTTGCATTATATAGTTGTAACTTAATATGTACATTTATAGCTATTATATAGGTAATGACATTTATTCATATCCATCTTCAGGATGGTATCATGCTAAATATTTGATTATCATGTAGACACCTATATTAAATAAATCATGATATTTGCTAATGTATGTACCAAACTGACCATCAACATATTTAATTACTCATGTGCAAGGATTACATAAAAACCATAGAACAAACACTATCTCCCCCTAATCATTGCATATGGGGGTATAAAAATAGTCCAACAATCTTTAAATCTCTTGCTCCTTTTAAGCCATAAATTCTTTTAGCAGTGCATGTATCAAATATAATAAAATTATTCTTATAAATTCGTACTCGTAACTCTTGCCCAATTATATTAATCTCTATATTGAAAATTCTTAAAACTATGGGCAGATAATAAATACTTTTTTTTTAAGCAAGTTGCTCATAATGTCATGTGTAATTACTTGAACTCATAACACATTTTTTTTTTCAAATAGATATTCTTATGAACTTTTCCATGAATAATATAATTACAAGAATATCCTGCAAACATGCTTAGTTTTCTTTCAAGCATGCTGTAGACACCCATTTGTGTCTCCCCAGAACCAAACCCGGTGATGAGTGCCTTTCACGTTGAATCATAATCGAATGAAACGAAAGTGTGGAAAGGTCTAGTGTTGCGGAAAGTTTTATTTCTTTTCTTTTCTCTTCTCTCTGTTTTTGAAAACTTTATTTTAAGAAAACAGCCAATCCAGTTCGGTTGGTCCATGATATGGGTCCAATAATGGTGTACTTGGATGGGGCTTGCAAAGACCTTTCCAACGATATATATAAGCTCGATTCCGATGAATATTGAGAAATTTATGGCCAATTTACTAAACTGGGCCTGGTTTGAGTTTTAAGTACGACCTAATGATCTAGGGGAGGGCCTGATATAATTTATCATTATTAATATAATTAGGAATGGTTTTGGTCTTCTAGAACATTCTAGAAGGTCTTATCATTCTTAATTCAATTAGGATTCTTCAGAGTTTTAATTAGATCAAATAGCATTTTCGACTGAAATTATATTATTTTATCTTCCAGTACGGGAAATTTATCAGATTTTCGAAAACGCGTTAAAATCCGGTTTGGCGTCCAACCCCAGGCCTTGGCGCCTGGAATCAGGATTGGCGCCAGACGCCATCCATTGGCGCCTGACGCTAGCCACTGGTCCTGGCGCCAATGAGCCAGGGCTGGCGCCAAGGTGGTTTTGTGGTCTTCAGACTCTGTTTTGATAAATTATCTTTTTTGGATGATTTTCTCTATAAATATCGTATCAAAAACTCCGTTTTCGATCATCATCTACATCTATCATTCACCAATTCTCTTTATTCTTAAGTCTTCACCAACTCTCATCAAGATTTTCTTGATTATTCTCTATCTCTCTCTCTTTTCTAAACTAGCCTTTTCTCAAATACAAAATTCCGCATTCACAAGATCTAGAAACACTTAGCCATATTCGAAGTTGCCTTCACCCTAGACGTGAAAGGTTTAATTTCTGAGGGTTTGGTCCAAAATCTCTCTTTCAATTATTTAATTGCTTTGATTATTATTTCCCTTGAAGTTACTAACGTGTGTATTTTGTTATTAGAAAGAGGTACGAGGCATCCAAGTAAGTACTTTAAGGGATTTTATTGATTAATTGATATTATGATGTAGAAATCATGTTTACATTGTTATTATGATATTCCTAGTATCATGTCTAAGGTATTTTTAATATTAAATATGATTGTTATGATGCTTCCTATGTTCTTCCTAATATTTATGATTATTAGTATCATGTTAGGGTTAAAGATTTGATTTTTATTGCTTAGTGACATGCTAGGGTTTGTTATTAATCTTGTTAGTATCATGCCTAGGATCTTGCTATGCTTTAACATGATTATGATTATTATTATTATTAATGATGTTGATTATTTATTATGTTGCTTGATATGTATTATTTTATATTATTTATTGTTTGATCACACCTTTTATGTATGTTTAAAGGGAATTTGTATTTGCAATCACGCTTAATAAGATAATTAATAATCTTGTTAGGGTTAATATGATTATAATTCAAGTAATCGCCAATAATAGTTTATGTGTGCATTAAATTCAACCAACATAGATTAAATAGGTTTAGGGTTAATCCTATTGATTGCATGTTAATCAGAAAGCGCACATGAATACGAGCAGAATAAAGTAGCTAGAGGCCTATTATTAGGGCAGGTTCAATCTCTTTTAGGTTGGATTTGTACCATCATCCCCGAACCCTTATTTGGTTCACGACCTTATGGAGTTGACGATCTCTTGGATCGTTAAGGGTTGTAACCTTCACCTCGTGAATGGTTTACAAGTTCCTAAAAAACTTGTTGGCGACTCTTTTGCTCTATCTTCTTCCCTTTTGGACGCCACCGTACTTTAGTGTATGATCACAGTGGGGTTCAAGCTAGTGGGATTTTAAAGGCTTGAAACTATTCCCTACACATGCAAATTTTTATTTTTATTTTTATTTTTATTTTTATTTTTTTTACTTTTGGGAATGAGCTAGCTAGTGAGTTTAGGTAGCTATAATTCACCAATTTGATCTCACATATCATTCCAATAATCTAATTTTATGTAGACATATACTCCATCATACACCAATATGTTAAAATAACTCCATCATTCCAATAATCTAATTTTATGTAGACATATACTATCAAATTCTATTGATATTGATCACATATCACACATCAAACATCATGACCATATACTCTACAATACTATCA